TTTGCAGTCCTCTGTCCTATGCTCGAATTGGTTGCAATTTTCAGGTCTTTTCAGTTTTAGCAAAGTTTTATTAAGCAATTCTTTCTACGCAAAAATCGCATAATTTTTTAGTTTTACGTACAAATACTGAAAATATAAAGGTATTTTCTGTGAAAAATTACTCACCTCCTTAACCGCTTTGCAAAAATGTTTGGTAAACCTTTTGTAGCTTCGAATTGTCGAAAAAACTCTGATATTTTTTTCTGGGGTTTTTTCGAAAAATATTTCCACGAACTGAAGAAGTGAAAGTTTATAATAATTTATTTGGAAAACTCGTGGCAACTGACGTTTCTTTACTTTTAGGCCAATATTTCTAAACAATACTGTCTCTGAACAGAAAAACCGTGTTTTTTTTTCCAACGTTTTACTGTAAAATATTGGCAAATTGAGTCTTTTATGCAAAAAATATGGATGACCTTTTTTAGATGTTAAAATTCCAGTCTCGGGTCTCGTAAAGTTTTAATAATGAATTATAACTCATTAACCGATGAGTTATAAGTCGATAACTCAGAGAGCGGCAACAACTCAAAAGCTCAACTCAACACAGTGAGTTCAGTCTTAATGGGCTTAAAATAGTTATCGGCTTGATAAGCAATTGAATATGTTTTCGGGGAAATAAAAAAGAAGTTGAAAGTTCAGAATGCAGCACTTTCGCTTTGATAGAAATTTTCAAAAATTTCAAGCGTTTTATTGAATGTATACGATTCTGTACACTCAAGCACATTTTTTGAGCGAGTTATTCTAATCAAAAGCCTGCAATTTTTACTTTTATCTTAAAACAGAGATTACATTTGAGAACGCGCATGTGGTTCTGGCTTAGTTTCCGCATATTTTGAGCGACGCATCGAGCCGTTGCTTAAATTTTTCTGAAAAATCGCCAAGAAGTTTTTGTAGGTGATTGAAAATTACTTTCGACTACACTCAATGCACTTAAAAAACTGTGGAAAAAGTTGTAAATTTGCAAGCACTTTGGGTTTGAATTGGACTGCGAGTTTCTTCAAACGGTCTACTGGGCGAAATCAATTTCTTGGGCTTTAGGGCAATTTTTTCGTAAAAGTTGCAGTGGGAAATCCTATTGTTATATAAAAATAAATACTGTATTTGAGAACTGCTCTTCTATTCTTCACTAAAAAATATTTCAAAATGCGATTTTTCCAGCCAATATGCAAAAAATCCTTATGCCGCGACCAGACCTAACGAGCCTGATCCGCGGCAAATTCCTTCGATTTCTCGTCAAAACACCGACACAAAATCGACCGTCTGTCGGTGTTTTGATCACATTTTTTGAAACATCCAAGGAATCTTAGACTGGATAGATGGATTGATTGATTGTGTTGTTTTTCTTTCTATAGTCCAAGTGTGTGAGACTGTTCACTTAACCCCATGAACAATTGGCAATTTCCAGCAAACTTCCCAAATGAATCACACTTATCTGATCTTTGAACTACATCAATGCCTTATCATTATGCCCGTCTATAAATACGTTGTGCCAGTAGGGGAAACGTGCCGCAAAATCCACCTGTAAATATCAGCAGACATTTCAATGATTCCCGCACGCATGATGCTGTTTGCTTTGGCATTGATAATGCTTTTTCATTATATTGGTATTATAAATTATTAATTACAGCATGACGGACGAAAAACCATTGGTGCACGATGACATGCCGAAAATAGTGATCACACGGAACAAACCAAAGAGGAGAAGGCTGAGGGTGGGCGATCCGGATTTTGCGCCCCCAGATGGAGGATGGGGCTGGCTCATTGTCTTTGCCTGTGGATTCAGTAATGTATGCACTGTAGAGGCTGCATTTTTTCATTTTCTAAGCTTTTGTTGCTTTTCAGCTTAGTACATTTCCAATGTTCCAACAATTCGGATTGGTGTTCCGGACGCGGTTTGAGGAGCTTAACATTTCCTCAGCCCAAACCACATCGGTGATTAACATGAACTCGGCATTCAATGCCGGCATGGGTAAGCATCGCCAGCCTTTTCCATTTTAAGCCCACTGGTAGAGTTCTTTTACAGGTCTGTTGAATGGGCCGGTGTTCAGGAAATTCACCTACAGACAGGTGGCTATGGTAGGCTCCCTGCTGGTCTTCTGCTCTCTGTTTCTATGCCAGTATTCTAATAGTTTCTGGGGCTACATGATTCTATATTCGGCCCTTTACGGTATGGTAGAACGCTGCTAGTTGGGCAAGACCAAAAAGTGACTGGAAATTGGATTTCAGGTTGCGGGATTGGTATAACGCAATCGTCCAACGCTCTGGCGCTCAACACTTATTTCAAGGAGAAGAGACGAGTGGCCACTGGGTTCTCATGGACAACGACCGCAATGGGGCCCATTGTGTGGCCCTACATTATCGTCGCTCTGAATTCGCTTTATGGTATGGAGGGCACACTACTAATCTTTGCGGGATTTTCGTTGCATGCATTCGTATGCTCGTTGTTGTTGCAGCCTGTCGAATGGCATACGAACTTTAGGGTATGTTTGTTGGTAGTTTTCGATTGTTTGACTGGCACTTGCTGATTTCATAGCTTAGTATATAGTATAGCGCTCGATTAAGGCACTTTTTTCCTCGTAATATGTATAACTAGCCAGGAGCAGGCCCATTTATACAAGGGGTCCCAACAGGAATGACAGATTCCTGGGCATTATTATTTAATGTTTGCATTTTGCGTGAAAACTAGAAACCTTCCTCACGTGATGTTTTATAGATTAAAATGCGCAAAAATCCGGCAATGGTACGTAGAGCTTTGCAGCTCAATCAATTTTCTAAATCTGAGTCAAAAACTAATAGCAGTTTTAAAAATTTCCATTTCGCATCATTTCCATCATTCAAATTTTTGCATTTTGCGTGAGGACTAGAAAGACTTCCAAAATAATGTTCGATATAAAAAAAGTGCGCAATTTAAATATCTAGGCGACATTATCCAATCTTGAATTTTCGCATTTTGGAAAAAAACTAGAAGTATTTTCAAAATACAGTTCGGGATAATTAAAAGGGCGCGGTTTAAAGCAAAACTGATAGGAAAAACCACCTACGGAGATATTTGGGCAAGTAAATGTCTGCAACTTTTTGGGAATGACTGTATGCCGAATTTTAAATAAAATGTATTCTACGGAAAAATGTAAATTAGTCAATGTCCCAGCAAGCCTTCTTTTCCCAAATATTTACGATTCAACAGCAAAATATCGCAAGTTGTGCTAATTCGCCATTTTTGTGTCGTTACTTTTGGGACACCCTGTGTAACTAACCGTTTGCGATCTCCTTTTATGAATCTTGCCCTTACGATGTACAAGGTTTCCATTTAATATTCGGGTCTTCTCATCTGAGCTTTATTTTAGTTAAAAAGTTATAGTTTGTTTTAGTTAAAAAGGCTCATTAGACGCAAGTGAACACCGTTTACATACGGTTCAGCTTCAATATCAAACGCAGTCTACAGCTTCATTTAAGTGAATTATTGAATCAAGAACCATGAGCTTAGGGATTGGTTGAGGATTATTTCTAAAGTAAACCTCTATGGGGTGAGCGCAAAAACTGTAGCGGCTGAACTAAAACTGGGTAACACTGTGTTGAGTTGCGCTTTTGAGTTGTTGCCGCTCTCTGAGTTAACGAGTTATAACTCATCGGTTAATGAGTTATGTCATTTATTAAAGTGGATTAAAGCTTTACGAGACCCGAGACTGGAATTTTAACATCTAAAAAAGGTCATCAACATTTTTTTATAAAAGATTTTAAAAAAGATCAATTTGCCAGTATTTTACAGTAAAACGTTAGGAAAAATAGGGGTTTTCCTGTTTGGAGACAGTGCTGTTTATAAATATTGACCTTTAAGTGAAGAAGTCCCAGTTGCCAAGAGTTTTCCAAATAAATAATTATAAACTTTCGCTTTTTGGGTTCGTGGAAATATTTTTCGCAAAAACCCCAGAAAAAAATATCAGGGTTTTGTCGACAATTCGAAGCTGCAAAAGGTTTTCCAAAAATGTTTGCAAATATTTTTGTGCCAACTTCGACGCTGAAATGGGTTTTCTAAGGTTCCTGCAAACCGATGGATGAGGCAAATTTTCTAGCAAAATTGATTTTATCATTTTTGGCTGAAAAGACCTCATTATTGTCAGAAAAGAGGAAAATAATTAGAAAATAATGTTTTTTTATGCGTTTTTGATTAAAAACTTTTAATTTTGCAATCAATTTTTGAAATCGTTAATGTTCTTCGAGGAAAACGGGAGAAATTTATTTTCGTTTTGTCCCGAATTCGATGTTGAAAAAGTCTAAATTCCTACAAAGCTATTTATCTTTTGATTTTTCGCGCAAAAAACCTTCAGATCGTCAGTATTTTTAAGTGAAACTCTACATAATAGGGCGTTTTTGCGATGAAAGTAAACTAAAAAACTTCAGTCAAAAGTAAAACAACACATTTTTTTAACAAACTCTACAGTCTTCAGAGGAATGGAGGTGACGAGTTTTCCAAATAATTTATTAGAAACTTTCGCTTATACTGTTCATTTTTTGATAGAAAATGATTTGATTTTCACCCAAAAATAAATTTTATTTCATAATTTTTCCGGGAAAATACTTTGGTTGGTGGACCATGCCATTCGCGCAGTAAATTTACTGAGTTACCCAGGCTTAGGCTGAACACAAGCCTTCTTACCTTACCATTCCCAAATCATGAAGCATCGATGGAAGATCGGAGTAATAAATGGACACCCTGTATAAAGAAAGTAATTTATTTCTACAGAACATTTGAAAATAAGCTCGTTGTCTCAGGAGATAAATCCAGAGTCGGCAGCGCTGCTGGAAAACGGCCAACCAGAATCGCGAGCGAGCCGCTACTGGAACAAGGTGAAGAGCAATCAGAACGTGTTTTCTAGTCAATATTTGCATAACGAAGACGATCCTATTCACACGGGTAAAAATTGAGCATTTTAGGCGAATCTTTCGCGCAATCTGCCCTAATTGTTTCCAGGCTATGAGATTACGGATCCAGGCACGCCCATGATGATCAAGTACAACGACGGCTGGTACTCGAGGTCGCAAATGGGCTCCAAACTGTCCCTTTCCTCGAACAGAAGCAAAAGTTCCAAGCCGGGCTCGAAGCCAATTTCAGCCAAACCGTCCATGACCAATCTGCCAGAGTTTGGTAAGAATGAATCGAGTGTACTGAGGGCGGCAAGGGAGGTACTAATTGCGGTGTTTTGCTAGGTTTGGATAAATCGCACTCTCAGTCCAAGCGGAAGATTTCGCAAATCAACAAGCCGGCCATAGTGGAAGAAGTGGAGCCCGAAGTCGCTCCTGATGAGCAGCTGCTGGCGCCACCAAAGCAAAACGAAGTGCTTCAGGAGGCGGTGAAGATTCTCACTGAGTTGGAGACGAAGAAGCGCGAGAAAGCAAGTGAAGTGGAAGAGGCGCCAGCCAGCCCCAAACTGAGCATCTGGCAGAAAATCTCCATTTTCTTTGACTTTGAGCTGTTCAAAGATCCGATTTATGTGAATCTCATGCTGGGGATTACGGTGGCCAATTTCGCCGAGCTGAACTTTTCCATTCTAACCCCCATGGTGCTCAAGGAGTTCAACTTTGGACAGTACGAGACGGCCACTTTTATGTCCCTGCTGGGCGCCACTGATATAGTGGTGCGCTTCTTCATACCATTCATTGCCGACAGGATTGGCTGGGACAACAAGCGCTTCTTTTTGATTGGCGTCCTTGCCATGGCCCTCGGGCGAGTAAGTAAGTAAATCCGCCGCGACAATTTCCGGGCTGCACTTGACTGATTTTTTGTGGCTTTTTTCAGTTCTCGTCCACACGCAGACTTACACGTGGAGCTTACTAGTGGCAGTGATAATCGGCGCTGGAAAGGGGCTAAGGACGATTTTCATTGCGCTAGTTATTCCGTCCTATGTGCCTTTAGAGCGTCTGCCTGCCGCTTCAGGGCTGCAGCTTGCCACTAGCGGCTTACTTTTCGTGATTTTAGGTCCGGTTGTCGGTAAGCACTGAAGGATCAGTGAAGGGAAGTTGAATTTTCAGGATTTTGGGGTCTTTTTCAGGCTTGATTCGGGACGCGGTAAACAACTACGTGATCACGTTGCATTTGCTGAACATTTGCACGTATGCGACTGCAGTGGCGTGGATAATCGAGGAGATTGTGACCAAGAGGCGAAAGGAGGGCGATGGGAGTAAACCGAGCAAATCGTTCAAAACTGCCAAATGAGCGGATGAGGGTGCGGCTTAGACTTTGCGGTTACTCAAGTGATATTTTTTTAGAGTTAATGCGATTTGGGTATATGTTTCCTCAACCAGTTTTCCGGGGCCAAACAACTACATTAGATTAAATACTTTAGACACACTGTGTGTACGAAGTTTGCTTGAAGATTCATTAGACTCTCGTGCGTGTGTTGTTCGAAACTAGACCACATTTGAAAGTAGGAGGTGAGCAAACGTGGATGTTTTGGCATTGTTTATTTAATATTTTTAACAACAAGAGTATCCGAAGTCGACTAGTTCAGTTAATTTAAAATTTGTAGTCTAAACGAGCTACTTAAATGCGTTTTTACAGGTAATATTTACATCCCTTGCCAATCCACCTTTAATATAAAAGTTCGACGATTTGGGGACTTGGATAATAAATAGCAACAATTTCATCTAACACATTTCGCCACATTTTAACAATTTTAGCTCGGAATAACACAAGTAGAACAACCAACAAAGAAGACTGTGTTCAAGGCAAATAATCCTCGAATGTGATTCTTTATCTTGGACACAGCTCAAATGGGCAGTAAATCGACTGAAAATTATCTGCTTAGCAGTTGAAAGCTACGCAAATCAGTGCAGCTTCACAATGAGAGTATCACAGACACACCAGTGGCTCTACAAGCCGTTTTTTTTAACAAGTTGGATTTGGGGGCGCTTGCAACAGTTTCTGGTCGTTTAAAGGCTTCTATAGATAGGAAAAGGCGCTGGAAGCTCCCCCGATTCAAATGCGCGCACACATACCACAATATTACATAGGATATAAATATAAAAAAGTGACTGGGTCTAAACGTAAACAGTAGTGAAATATCGATTTACTTACGTCTAAGTACAATTCCTTCAACTCACTTAACTACTAAATGCTCGATACATGTTTTATCGTCTGTTTTATTGGTTTCGGGAAGGGATTATTTACACATACAGTGTGTCGAAGAAATACAGACTGCAGCAACATCAAGGGTTGTCCCATTAGCTTATGCAACTTGAAAAGAAAAAAAATTGCCTAAAGGGTGCATTTTCCTCAACTCTCACCATTGGATTTTCTCAAAGTTGTATAAGAGATGTAAAATAGTCTTTTCACGTGGTGATACTTCCAGACAGCCCCTTTTGCCTTAATCATTTTATATTGCTTTCTTGACACACTGTTTAAAGGGTGTTTGATAATATTGCCAAAAATTCGTGGACGCATTTTGTTGGCGAAAAAACGGTGTCTTTGCAGTGAAACCCCAAATTTTTGATAATTTTCATCCAAATCCACTCGGTTTTTTTGGTAAAAACCCTGATAGTTTTCAGGGTGTTACTTAAGTTTGGAGTATTTCCAAAAGCTGCTTCACTTGCAGTGAAGCCTGTTTGAGGCAACGCACCAAGTTTGAACTTTTTCGCAATATTAACAAATCCCCGTGTTAATTATTTCCATACCATTCGAACCCCAGAGGTTGCCCTTTTATTCTGGGCCTCCCTGTATAGCGTTCGGAAATACCACGCAAAGGCCTAATTCATGGATTTGCTGATGAAAATTAACCGTTTTAATTGAACCTACTCGCCTATGAAGCCCTTTTTATGTTAAGTAAAAAAAGCATTAACTCGAATCAGAGCGAGCCTTCAATTCCTCATTGACTGGAAATGGGGCTACCTTACAATTTTTGAAAAAAATGGTTATTTGCCGGAACATCTGGCCCTTGTGTGCGCGGTTAACAATATGCTTACCTTACAGAAAATTGCTGCTGTAACCACTTTTCATGGGGTGTTTTTTTGAGAAAAAGCCGTTTTCCAGCTCTGTTCACTCATTAATATTCAACACTTTTCCATAAGATTACAACGGATGTCTGTCAAACGGTTGTTATGGTAACGCTGTTCAGAAAAAGTCGCGCATGGGAAAACATCTATACTCTGCTGCCAAATGTCTTTAAAAATAGCAAATATCTATGGGTTATATCGGGTATTTTCCATTATGGAGGCCGCCCCTTAACATTATTAAACATAAAAAAACTTGCACTTATCCAAACCCCTACAAAACGTGCTTACGAAACAATCAAGTACAAACGAAATGTACATTTGGCAAATGGGCGAAATTTTCCGAACGCTGTCACCGTGACACCGGTTTGGCAGCAGTTGTAATGTTGCACAAAAGTAGTGAAGTGCCCGAAAAGCGTCTTTTCGCAGAAACCGCCTTGAAAAAAGCTGTTGGCACAGAGGTTTTCTATAAGGTGAGCATAATGTTATTTTAGATTCAGGCGCAAAGGCCTGATGTTTTAGAAAATTAGCAAAAAATCGTGTTACAGTTTTGACACTACTTTGGCGATCTCAAAATGTTACCTGGATAAACGTCGCACATCCCATTCCCGTCCCAACTGAAAATCCTTCCATCATTCACCCGTCCTCCCTACCATCATTAGACAAAATCCGTTGTTTGTTGTAAAACTAAAAATTTCGCATCCCATAGTTTGGGAACGCAACAAAATTTCCTCCTGCTGTCGTTGCCGCTTTTATCTACCCATGGTGGCGCCCTTGTCCTCCTGATGCAGCAGTGGCAGCTCGTCCTCCTGCGCCTTAATCTCCGACTCTTTATGCTCATGGCACTCGCATTTGCACTCGTCCGGGTTCACGTACGTGTAGACGACGTTGTCCTTCACCAGCCCCGAGATATCAATGTGGCCACGCGACGGAATCGTCTGGATCCGTTTCGGGTTCTTGCGGCGCTCCGGCACGTCCTCGAAGTTGATCCAGCTCTTCTGAATCCCCTTTGGAGGCAGTGGAGGCGGCGCCTCCTCTCCCGCACTCTCCTTAGGCTTGCTGGGTAAGTCGGGGCGAGGCAGTGAGATCTTCAGCTTCTCACTGGGTTCGTAGCGAGTGGCGAAGCCATCAAAGTAGTTTTCCAGGCCGCTGGAGTGAATGGGGGTGGTGGAACGCGGCCGATCAATTGGGCAGGTTTTCATATCCAGAACGCAGCGTTGCTTGATGGGGAGAATGGGTATGGCGGAGGACCGCTCCTGAGGCAGAGTGGTAGGCACGTAGGGGAGTTCGTCTTCGAACGAGTCCTGCTGATGGACGATCGATTTGCGTTCTGAGCTGCTCTCTGGAAGCAGCGGCTTGTCCGACTTGCGATACTCCATCTCAGTGTCGCGCTCCGACTCTGAGGAGTTGTGCTGATCATCCTCCGCCCGGTTGCTCAGGCTTAAGCTGTGGCTGGAGGCGTCCTCTGGGATGTTCGTCGGCTCGATTTCTGCCGTTGTGGTGATCAGTTTGCTGTCCGGGTGCGCCTCTGGACTTCCCTCCGCTGGCAAACTGATGTCGATCACTTCGGCCCGATCCAGCGGCTGGGGATGGGCAACCACCACAACCTCCACCTCTGTTGGAATATTTGTTACACAAAAAAACTGCTCGTTTATACAGTGCTGCTTACCACGTGAGAGTGTGTCCACATTTGCAACAACCTCTTCCGGTAGGCTGGTGACAGCAGCAGGAGCCTTAGCTGGAGGAGGCAAAACCTCCACCACAGTCACCTGTGAGTCCTGACTAGAAGTCTGCACCTCTTGAAGCAGCGATTTGCTTTCGTAGTACTTCGGCGAGTGCAGCGGTATCCTGATGGTCTCATTGCTTGGAGGCTGATGTTCACGTCGCTCCTTCTTCGGCTCTGTGGCTTTCACCCTTGGGGCGGCGCTCTCGACTTTGGGCTTCTCCTTGGGGAACTTGAACAGCGAAAGCACCGACTTGTGCTTGCCTTTGCTGTCCACGCTCTCCGTGGAGGAGACATTAGCGGACGGTACTTTTGAGTGGTCGGGGCCTTTGGACTTGGAGCCATGTCCCACGCAGCCAATCAAAGTGTTCTTCCGCTTCTGCTTGGACGCACCTGGCGAATCAGGATCAGTGCGGAAAAGCGTGGCAAACGAGTTCCGCCTGGGCACCGGCTGGGAGGGACTGCAAGCGCCTATTTCCTTCCGGGGGAGTTTAGGGCTGTTGGTGAGGCTGCGCGCGTGTGTCTGGATGTTGAAGTTCGGCCCGGCCGTGCCGTTTTCCTTCTGAAAGGGCAGGTTTAGGCTGGCCGGCTTGATGATGGCGCTGGTTGAAGCTCCATCGTCCTCATAACAATGGTCAGGTTTGAGCTTGATCCGGATGTACTTCGGCTCCTGGCTGTGGCTCTGGCTCTGGACAGAGGTGGGTCGAAGCGGCTTGGGCGCAGTCGGTCGGCTGCTGGATTTTTTGCCGTGTCTGTGCGGCGCACCGCTGGAATGATCAACCCTTTTGTAACTGTGCACTTTCTCTTCTGAGTCGTCCTGTGGAAGTGGACCCTTTAACGGAATGTAGATGTACTCGATGCCGCTCTTGGAAATTATTTTTCTGGGCAACTTGGAGCGTTTACTCTTGCTTTCTGCTCTGCCATCGCTGCTCTCTATTGGAAAAAGATATCTTTGTTTTTATGGGAAACAGTCTTCTAGACTGGAGGAACTGTTACCTTTCTGAAGCCCCTGGTCTGGTTTGCTTTTGGCAGTTTTGAGGCCCTCCACCAGCACGGCTTCGCCAGGATGCGACTTTCTGGACAAAACCACCTTTTCGAAGTCGTCCGAGTTCTTGGCGTCCGCATTGTCGGTTCCAATGTTGGCCTGCGAGCCCTTGTAGCCGCAAAACGACGTTTCCAGCAGCGTCTTGTGGGGCGAGGAGCACTGTGAGTAGGCCGACTGGCCCGACATAATGGAAACGTGGCTGGCATTGGAGAGGCGGCTCACTGCGCTTCCCTGACTCCCTATGCTGGAGATTCTGGACGTTCTTCCCGATATGGAGAGGAGGATGACGTCGGAGCACTGGGAGTCCTTCCGATTGCTGTTGCTGTTGATGTAGAGCTCGTCGAACTCGGGCGAAGCTGAGCGATGTTTGTATTTATGCGTCTTCGTTTCGGCCACGTCGTGAAAGTCCAGCTCTTCGGTTGATAGACGCAGCTCCAAAGCGTCGTCCTCCTTAAAGCCCAGGCCCAGCTTCACCCTGAAACTCCCTCACTCAGTCTTGGGGGGGAGGATTGAGGTTTCGAGTCAAACTCACGCATTGGGATCAGTGCTTTCGAAGATCTCCCTCTCTGGCGAACTGTCCCGGCTGTCGTGGTGGGAGGAACTACTCGCTCTGGAGATGTCAATTCGCGGAGTGTTTGCAAGCTTCATTTTGATGGGCAGAGGCGAGTGGGACAAGGAGTTGGGTGAGGTGGAGTGCGAGTTGCGCAGCGTGTTCCCAATCAGGCTCACTCCTTTGCCTCCTTTACACTCCGGATCTGGAGACGGAGTTGGGACCTCTTGCTCTGATATCCCAGGCAGGCGGATGACAGCCACCTCCTTCTCCCCTGGACTGTCCATCTGGAAACCAGCAAAGAACGGGAAATTGTAGTATGTTTCATCAGTCAAATATCCAGGTGCAAGGGAGGGGGTCCAGACATGATTTTAGGGTTGGTTTCTCTCTTGTTTGTGAGCACGTCCCTGGAAGAACTGCATCAACTTTAATTGATTGAAGTAAACGATAGTTTTTTATTTACTTTCAGGACACATTTTTACGAGCGAAAATCGACTGCTTTGTTGTCCCCTACAGCCTTTCAAAGTGTGTTGGTAGATTAGTGAAACACTTTGTGCAGGAAAAACTGCAAACGCTATAAAGAAAAGCTCAGAAAGAGAAAATTAGGCAATCATAAGCAGATTGGAGCGTGTTTCAAAAGTTCTGCTGAAAACATGCACAAATCTTATTTTGTAATATACTATGGTTGTTTCATTCCATTAAATTGAGACTTTTGCAACTTTCTACTACTAGAGAAAGATGTCCCTAATGGAAAGCATAAGTGCAGATTAGAACTAGAGGATTTAGCATAAAAATTGAGGGCTCAAAGCATAGATAGATATAGAAGTGGTGTAACTAGAAGTGAATTGAGATACATACACGATTTCTCACCTCATCTGAGAGGTCTTCGAAGGAGGCAAACGGTGCGGGTCCCATCCGTTTCTGATTGATTGGCTTATTGGTCGCTGATGGTTCCATGGTTCGGGCCGCGACTCAATCTGCAACAAATTAAGATGCGTTCAGTTGATCGAAGAGGACAATAAGAACGTCACAATGCGAAATAGGTCAGGGAAAATCGACGATCACGGACGCGAATAATAGGCATTACCAGGACTGATATTGTTGGCGATCTCCAGGCTGGAAGCCATTCCACTAATAATGAGGAATTGATGGATACTTACCGTGCAACACATTCAAGGATTTGTCCGCTACCGTCCCAAAAATGGTCAGCATGTGAACCTTCACCGATGGCCCATGCAGAAGATGGGCTTTCGCACACGCGAAACGCGGCCGAAATTCATCGCTTTCCCGATTCGGGAAATGGATTGCTCCGTTTGGGAAAAGTGCGCTTTTCCACCTGGCCACCAGAGTACGCGCTCATTTAGAAAGCGATCAATATGCATGCTTATTCTTGCAGGCCAGTTCACATATACAGGGTGATTCAGGTTAAAACTGGATAACTTCGGGAATCAATAGAACAGGATAGAATACAAATTTATCAAGCTGGCAAAAAGCAAGATGTTATGCAATTCTTTTGAGACTCTCGCATATTCAGTCAAAGTCTTCTCAAGATGGTAAAAATGTCAAGAGGTTTCTTGCTTCAGCTTGGAAGATACGAATTTTTATAGGAGAGAGTGCAGTTGTGCAAAAACATTCATTTTGAACTTCAGATTTATCAGGCTGGCAAAAATCAGAATTGAAATTGAAAAACCGGAAAAAATTGGAATTTTGGGCGATCTAAATGAAACTTACAGCATGTTTAGGATGAAGTGTCTTCTAGAAATGTACAAAATTTCAAATCGCTTGATCCCTGACTTTGGAAGATATTAAATTTTTGAGGTTGAGAAGGCAGTTGACTGAAAACGCCAATTTTGAGACTCAGGTTCATCAAACTAGCAAAAATAACAATTTGGTGTTATCCTTACGAAACTGTCCGCATCTTTAGGGCCGAGTGTCCTGGAAACGTAGCGAAAATGTCAAATTGTTCTTTGCCTTTGTCTGGAATTGTATACGGTTTTTTATATGAAAAAAAGTGCAGTTGTCCAAAAACATCGATTTTGACCCTCAGACTTATCAAGCTGGCAAAAATCGGGATTTAATACATTTCTTTTAATATTTCGTGCAGTTGCCAGAACCGAATATATTCTGAAGATTGTGAAAGTATCAAATTATTCCTTGCAGCGGTTTGGAAGATGCGATTTTTTAAATGAGAAAACGCAGTTGGCGGAAAACGGAAAACTACATTTTCAAACTAATATTTCCCAACCCTGAAAAATTGGGATTTTGGACGATGTAAATAAAACTTACAGCATGTTTAGAAGTCAAGTATCTTCTAAAAATGGTAAAACTTTAAAATTTGTTGTTGCTTCATTCTGGAAGATACGATTTTTTTGAAGGGAGGTCGCGGTTGACGGGAATCGCGAATTTTGAAATTCAAATCAGAGAATTTATCAAACTGGCAAAAATCAGGATTTGGTCCAATTTTTACGAAACTTTCCGCATCTTTAGAGTCAAGTGTCCTTGCAAGAATGTTTAAGTCGCAAATTGTTTCTTGGTTTAGTTGGGAAGCAACGAATTTTTAAAGGAGAGAGCGCAGCGGACCAAAAACATCAATTTTAAGACTCAGATTTACCAAACTGTTGTAAACCGACGTAAACGAAATTTACAGCATGTTGATAATCAAGTGTCTGCTAGAAATGTACAGAATTTCAAATTTTTTGTTTCCCGACTTTGGAAGATATTAATTTTTTGAAGGCGAGAAGGCAGTTGACTGAACACGCCAATTTTGAGACTCAGGTTCATCAAACTAGCAAAAATAAGGATTTGGTGCGATTCTTGCGAAACTGTCCACATATTTAGAGCCGAGTGTCCTGGAAACATGGCAAAAATATAAAATTGTTCCCTGGTTTTGTCTGGGAGATACGGTTTTTTGTGTGAGAAAAAGGTAGCGCAGTTGTCCAAAAACATCGATTTTGACCGTCAGACTTATCAAGCTGGCAAAAATGGGGATTTTATACATTTCTTTTAATATTTCCTACAGTTGCCAGAACGGAATATCTTCTGAAGATTGTGAAAGTATCAAATTCTTCCTTGTAGGGGTTTGAAAGATGCGATTTTTTAAATAAGTGAGCGCAGTTGGCGGAAAACCTACATTTTCAAACTAAGATGTTCCAACCCGGAAAAATAGCATATTTAAAATCAATTGTCTTCTAAAAATGGTAAAAATTTAAAATTGGTTTGTTACTTTATTTTGGAAGATTCGATTTTTTTCAAGGCGAGAACGCAGTTGACTGAAATCACCAGTTTTAACACTCAAATCAGAGGCTTGTTGCGATTTTCACAAAACTTTTCGCATCTTTAGAGTCAAGTACTCTTGCAAGAAGGTGAAAAATTCAACTTATTTGTTGATTTAATTTGGAAGACACCAATTGTTAAAGCAGAGGGCGCAGTGGGCCGAAAAGATCAATATTGAGACTCAACTTAACAAAACCGGAAAAAATTCGAATTTTGGTGGTATTTGAATGAAACAGTTACAGCAAATATGCTGCTCTAAATATAGAGTCAATCAATAAATTCAAGTCGTCTTCTATAAAATCAAAAAATTTCAAATCGGTTCTTGCCTGACCTTAGAAGATATGAATTTTTGAAGGCGAGAACGTGGTCGACTGAAAACGCCAACTACAATACAGTCTGATAATAAGCTGATATGGAAAGTCCCAACCTCTAAAAAGTTGGAAGCCAAAATGTTTAAAAGAGCGCAGCTGTAAAACGGTTGCAGTCTCTGTTCAGCTCTGAAAATAATGAACACTTTCGACGTATTTTCATCAGAAGTCCACGTAAACTAACCGCTCAATTTCAGGTAATCAGTGTTTTCCTGCACTTTCAGGTACTGACAAATCAAACATTTCGTATATTCGCATTTTTATTGGGCTTCACTTAATTATTGCAGAGTAATGTAAAAAAACTATTGCTAAGGTTCAATGGAACGCTCAGAGCAGCTGCACTTGACTGTCGGAGCTTTGCTCCAGCTTCTTGTACCTGAGCGTGTAGAGTAATTTGCAGGAAAGTACGCCGAAGACAAACCCGATCAGGAAACTGACTATGGTGGTAATCAGGATCACGTGCAGGAACCCCTGTTGGGCGTAAGCATTGATGAAGAGGTCCCAACAGCCTTCCGGTTCGGGCGCATTTTCCTTCTGCTCCCAGTGCTCATTGCCAATCAAATGCTCTGAGTAGTTGGCTGCTGGGGTCATTAATACTTGATCAAGGACCTCGTGCACTTCCGGTCCCTTGTTGTCCTCGCACATCTCTGTCGAGCCACTTGCAGCCTCGAAAACACTCACAATTTCATCCTCACTGTTGCTGCATTGATAGGGCTCAGATGAGTCGATGAAATTCTGATCGCTCAGTCGATGGAAGGCCTGCATGTTGTCGCAGCTGCACGTCCAAGCATTGAACAGCAAATTGACGAAGATGGCGTTGGGTTCGAAGCTCTGGAACGGCTCCATTGACAAGGTCTGGATGCTGTTCTGCTGCAACAACAGCAGCCGGAGATTGGGCAGGAAGCTGAGCGCGCTGGCTGGAATGCTCAGGATTTTGGAGTCGATAAACGCCAGTACTTCCAGGCTCTCCGATCGGATAGTGGGCAAGGCGCCGTTAATGTAGTTGCTGGATAGGTCCAGAAGAACCATGTTCTCCAGGTTGGCGATCAAGGTTTCTGGAACAGTGCTGAGCTCGTTTTCGCCCAGGTAGAGTCCCTGCAAGCCCTCCAGGCTGGCAAATGTGTCTTCAGCAATCTCAGTCAAGCTAGAGCTGTTCAAGTACACCTCCTTAACTTCCTCATTGTTGGGAAAGTCAAAGTCCTGCCAGGAGACAGAGAGCAGCATGTTGCCGGATAAATCAAGCACCAATGGAACGAAATCGAGCGCCTGCAAGTCTGGCACATTCTCCAGTCTTTGATCTATGCAGGAAAGCGAGGATTCGCTGCAGTTGCATCCTGGTGGACATTCCGTCTGGCCTGCAGCCGTCCACACACTCAACAGGACGCTGACGTTGATGATCGTAGACCTGGAATTGAACAGGAATCACACTAACGGAATTCTAACGGAAAATAACGTATATGCGTACCTCATGTTATGTCTGGCTGGAGCCTTTGTAGTAGTGGAAAATACGCTGTCCTGATATCGGCGCTGAGTGGTTTGTAATTTATCTTATCAAAAATAAGTTTATCAATTAGTAATTGAAGCGATGTTTTTATTGATATCCGTATAGGTATGCGAGATATCGTTTTTATCAGACGGCTGATGGCCCTCCTATTTACTTCTTAACGCCGGCTTATATGGAGGATTTGTTGTGGTTTCGGGCTCATCAATGCCATGATAAAATGCCGTTGAACTGCCAAAGGTTTCCAGCTTTTTCAGCAACATACATGATCTCATCAGCTAGATACCGAGTGTACTGAATTAACTGCGCATTAAGCAAATTAACTGGCCACTAACAGGATTTTTGCAGTGTTTCGCTTGTTCCAATGTGTTTCATTAGGACACCCTGTATACTTTTTTGTACTCAAACCTCTGAAGATGTCAACCATGCGTGCTAGCGAAACGGAGCTGGTGAGCACTGTAGGTCCAAAACCGCTTCTGGGAGCGCTAGCTTGTGCTATTCGAAAGCGAAAGAATCTGTGAATGTACAAACCTCAAATTGATCAGTGAAAACCCGTATTTAATACTGGAATTAACGCATTAAAGATCAGTTTTAGTATAAAAGTAAGGGGATTAATCGCGAGTTCCGATTTGCCGAAAGTTCCTGAACAGAAAAGTGTGGATTGTACCTTTGTCGCCTTAAACAGCGCTAAACTAAACCATTTTTTCACATTTTATGTAGAAGTGGTGCGCAATTGGTACACCCTGTATATTCCATACGAGCAAGAAAGGCAGTTCTTATCATGAAAAGTTCTTCATGTGGCAAAGCCGGTTTCAGTAGCATGCGAGGTTTTTCGCAAAAACATTAACTCGACTTAATTTTTTTTTGAACTTTTAAACGCTAAAAATTAATCTGCTTTTGCAATTTCAATTTTAAACCAATTTACATATTTTTTTTTAAATAAAACCGTTTAAAATTTTAACAGTTTCAATGGTAATTTTTTTTATTTCTTTGGGGGGAAAAGGCATTAAAATAAGCACGATTTTCGATCAAGGATGTTTTGAGGCAAAAACATTTTTTTTCATGTTGATTTAGAAAGTGTCCTGGTTTCTGCTTAAATTGCCGTATAGAGCTTTAAATTGCGCAGTATTTTGGAAATGTTTCTAGTTTTCACACAAAATGCAAGCATTTAAGATTACTTGGAATTTTAGGAACCGCTCTTAGGCTTTAGCTCACATTTAGAGAACTGGTTGAGCTACAAAGCTCTGTTTTCCATTGCCGTATAGAGCTTTAAATTGCGCACTTTTTCATTCCAAACATTGATTTAGAAGTGTTTCTAGTTTTTTCGCAAAATGTGAAATTGCAAAATGAAACGAAGAATGAAAATGAAAAAAAAAAACGTGTCGTAAAAACTGCTTTTAGTCTTTGGCTCATATCTAGAGGCCCGGTTGGGTGGTAAATCTCGGTTTGCCATTGCCGGATAGAGAGTTAAATTGCGCATTTTTGTATACCGAACATTATTTTGGAAATGTTTCTAGTTTTTACGCAAAATGCAAACGTTTAAGATTACTTGGAATTTTCGAAACCGCTTTTAGGCTTAAACTTACATTTAGAGAACCGGTTGAGCTGCAAAGCTCTGTTTCCCATTGCCGTATAGAGCTTTAAATTGCGCATTTTTTTATGCCAAACATTGATGTAGAAATGTTTCTATTTTTTACGCAAAATGAAAGCGTGTGTGTGAAAACAATGGTTTTGGATTGATTGATGAGGGTTTTTAAACTTTCGACTCATATTGAGAGAATCGGTTGCGCTACAAAGTTATATTTGCCATTGCCGAATAAAGCTATAAATTGCACACTTTGGCATACCACACGTTGTTTTGGAAATGTTTCTAGTTATCACGCGAAATGCCAAATTTCAAAATTAAATCGAGTTTTTAAAGCCGGCTTTAGCTTTCCACTCATATTTAGAGAACCCGCTGAGCTGCAACGCTCTATTTTGCATAACCGGATAGATCCTTAAATAGCGCACTTTTTTGATTGAAAGATTGTAGAAATGGTTCTAGTTTTTACGCAAAATACAAAAATTCAAGTTTAATGTGGATTTTCAATCCCGTTCTTAAGCTCTGGCATTACCGGATAGAGCTTAAAACTGCTCAATTTTTAAGGCAAGTTTTTTAATAAATAGCTCTGTTTTTCCTCTATACGGACTGGATTGTTGAGAATATGTATTTTTTGAGTTTACACCGAATTGCTCAAAAACCTTTAGTGTGGGACTTTGGCACAAACTAATCAACAATTATGAATTTTTTTAAATGTGTTTGAAAAAGCGAGATTTTCGATCAAGGATGTTTCGAGGTAAAGAGCATACCTGGATTTTTAGTCCGAGATTTCCAAGTTTTATTTTATTTTCGATTTTCATTGAGGAAAGTTTATCAGCAAACTGGTAACTAAAATGCAGGAAGATTGGTGGAAGCTTCTGGATAGGAAAAGTTTCGAAAACATCTCAAAGATACTGATGGCTAAAATCTGAAAAAAGAGAAACTACGTTCGTTCAGTACTAGCGTCAGCCTTTTTCTGGACAATCTGTATAAACTATCTGCTTTTAAGACCCATTTTGTCTAGCCATTGAGCACATTCTCCATATCGTCAATTCGAACCACTATTTGTATTCCAATGAATTACCATTGCTTATCTAGTATCTGGAAATAAATGACCATGATGTATGTACAGGGACTGAGCAAAACCCATGTTTTTTTTGTAAATGCACGTTTTGCCCGTCATGAACTATAATCCCACCTCAGCTCGGTAGATAAGAACGATAAGTAGTCATTATTTCGACTAATAATGTTCTATTGCATTACTGCAAGAAGAGAAATGCCCGTGTGTGGCATTTACTTTCATTTTCTTCAAGCGCGCGTACTGTTTCTATTCGTCCAGTTAGAGTGGTAGAAGAGCGGTGGTTTTCTATCGCAAAATGGAGCCTCCAAATCAGTTAAACTCCTGTTCCTCCTCCTCAATGCCCTCAGTTCAGGATTATTTCAACGGTAAGAAATTCGATATTGAAAAAATATACCGCGGCTCAAAGCTTTCCATTAATTAACTCGAAAAGTTTGTTAGTGTTCCATCCAGGGCGTTGATGAACTGATGCAAAAGCACGCAAACAGAGTAAAAGAACAGTCCTTGAAAGCGAACCAGAAATTATATGCACAGCCGGTGAAAGCGAAAACGTGAAAATCACATCTCTTGCAATAAAACCCGTTATTTCCCGGCAATTATACAATGAATCGGCGTGAAACTTATGCAATAAAATGCATTTTGCAATAACTTTATTGAACCTAATTTGTCTAATTGCTGATAAAGCGCGTTGTCTCATCTCCTCTAGGTGCTTCAATCTATGTGATCCCATTGGCTGCAGTAGGAGCGGCCTTCCTGATGTTCTCCCTGCTGGTATTCGCCAACACCCTTCGCTTCATCCTGCGCCGCAGCTGCTCAAAGGCCAAAACCTTCACAACCTTTATAACAGCAATCTACCCGGTAAGGCCCCATTCATCCGCTAAACTCCTAGAGAACTCTAACAGCCTTACGGCCCTTTAGGTGATAGGTTTTCTGAGCTACTGCTCCCTACTGGTGCCGCGCTCTAGCTTACTGTGCGAGGCACTCAGCCAAGGCTTTATAACCGCGGCCTTGTATCAGCTTTTCTGCCTTTTGATGGCCTACGGTGGGGGCCACGCCTCCCTGATCGAAACAGCCGGCTCAGTTCGGATCGACCTCAAAGAGCCCCCGTGCTGCTGTTGGCCCTGCTGCGCTCTGCCCACTTTCGCTGTGCAAAAGTTAGGCCACCGCCCACTTTTATGATTGGTGCTGATTTTGCAATGTTGCAGGAAGGCTATCGATTGGCTCCAGTGTTTGGTGCTGCAGGTGCCTCTAGTACAGGGGCTGGTCTATTTTGTGTTCCTGCTCATGTGGGCAGAGAATCCGGTAATCAGAGTTTTCTAATAAGTCTTTGGCTGATAATGCTTTAAATTGCTAAATTGCGGATCTGAAAAATTCACTACAATTTTCAGAGGTTATACGAAGCAAACTACTGGTACCTGCAGCCTGTGCTGATTATTTCCATTCTAACCGGCATCTGGGGGCTGACAATCACCATTAAGGCTCTTAGCAGTCTGCTGGATCCGGAGTTTCGCCTCAGAACGAAGCTGAACATTTTACAGGGCGTTCTCTTGTTCAGCAAACTGCAACCGCTCCTAATCAAGGTGTTTGTCTGGACCAACTTGCTGCCCTGCAATCCGCCGCTGACGCCCCAACTATACGCCAACAGTAAGCCGTTTCTTCTGCGGTAAATCACCGTCCGATTGACGCGCTCTTTAGTGATCCAGAGCGCCTTACTGACCATGGAAATGGCTCTATTAGGGCTGCTAGTTAGGCGGATTTATCGGCGCCAACTACCCGAAGTGAGCAGCCTAAAAAGAGAGCCTGGAGCGAATGGTCCGAAACTAGCGGGCGAGGACAATCCAAGCTATGGCTGAAGAGTTGCCAGGTGTGTATATTGAGTCTCCATGTTAGTCTACTAGTGTTTATAAGCTACTTTTCTCGCAAATTTGGGCGCTTTGTCTGCAGCATGTGCATAGAAGGGTGTTTTCAAATGGAAAATGCTCTTACTCTGAAAACGAACACTTTTCACATTAATGTTTCTTGTGCAAATGACTTTGTCACAAAAAAACCTAGACGCCACTGATTCTCGTACTTTAATTTGCAATTGAAACTACACCAGCCCACCACTGTTCGAAACGTTTAATGATCCTTTCTAGGCTCTAAATAATTAACATTTAGAGCATTTTCCAAGTCAATACAATACAACCGGTCATCCCTGCATCCTACAAACAGTCTGCCCTTCACCAAGCAGGGCGAAGAAAAGCTTTGAGCGGGCAGCTGCATGGTGAACACTGTGGCCTTTGAGGCCGCCTCTATTACATGCACAGAGCCGCTGTTGCACACGCTCACCACAAACAGTCCCCCGTCCTCTTCGTGGAGGACGGGCGTGGAGGAGATTTCCCCACTGAGTTGGGCGAGTCTCTCCAAGTGGTCATCAGCGGTGATTTTGTACAAGTAGGAGTCGTGGCACCCAAAGTATATTGAGCGGCGATGGAGCCGCAAAGAGCCGAAAATGTGCCCGCCTGCTTTGAGCGTCCATCTGACGCAGCCTGTTGAGTCTATGCAGGTTATTTGCCCTGCCCATTAACAATTCTTTGAAATTCACGTTGAAACAACCACAAACGACTTACCAGTGACGCTGGGCCAAACTGTGCAGTCCTTCAGAACAACTCCCGCCCCAAAAACCGGCCCTTCTACATTGCAGCTCCAGATGCGAGCGCCGTCCGTTTCATCCAAAGCGTAGCACCAACCTCGGGTGGTGCCCACATGAAGCCTCTGCCTGTTCGCCTCGCGAACAGGCGGCGCTTTTATCTGCCCAAACAGAGGAGCCATCCATACGAGAGCTCCCTGTGTTCGGTTAGATCAAGAAAAACTTTGAGTAAAGTGCCTACCGCAAAGGACACGCAGTAGCAGCTGCCGTTGTACGAGCCGAAGGCTAGCAATGTGCCCCACAGGCAGGCCGAGCTGACTTTGTCCGAGGTTGGGAAACGCCAGGCGATTTTCTTGAGCCTCAAATCTAGACAGTACATGGCACCATTCGAGCAGGGGCAGAACAGGAATGTTGCACACCGGGAAAAGACTGGCTCTGCGTGGATCTCTTGCCTCAAAAAAATTACAAACAGCTCATGGCCGCTTTCGTCCAAAATCGCCACTTTGTGGGCGAAGCTGCCGCACGCAATGTAAGTCCCAAGGCTGCAAATGGAAATACGATACATTCCAAAACTCCAGTACTCCACATTGCATGACTGGCCTGCTTGTGGTGGCCGCCACAGGGGCATCCACGCAGCCCTTCATGTCCACGCTCCACAGCACATGGCTGGGGCTGGGCGCAGCCCCAATAGTCCCAACTGGACAAGTCTCCCCAGACGACACTTCAAGATGCCGCTCTACAAATTCCCGGCAAGTCTTCACGTCTTCGTTCAGCAGCAGGGTTAAAAGTTCCCCAATCCTGCTGTCGCCTACGCGCTCTTGAAAGTCGCGCATAAACTGCATGATGGAAATGGAGCTGACCCCTAACTGGGCCAGAGTTTTGTCTCGGTGCCCCTGAAGCTCCGCCCTCACATACCCGCCCAGGAGGTCTTCAAAAACGTCGCCTACATCTCCAGCTTTCGGGCCCCTTTTGAACAATCCTTCTAGGGATTTATCGCAGATTTTTCCATGTCGGTTCAGGGGCAGCTCAGTGAGAATCTCCAGGTAGTCTGGAAAGCAGTGCTCTTCTAGGCTGTTGAGGAGTTTCACTCGGAGCTTATCCAAGGCCCTAAAAATCCAAATGTATCTCAAAGTCAGTCCACAAACCACTAATTTTGCTCTGGAAAATTGCCTTGTTTTGGTAGGTGCATCCATGGGCTGGGCGATGACAACGAAAGCCAAAAGCCGCTGATGCGTGGTAGAGTAAACCAGCCGGCTGCGCAGCTGGGTGTTCAGGAAAATCTCATCCTCTACACTCTGCAGAGCCACCCGGCGCCCAAACCGCTTAATGCTGCGCGAGCTCCTGCCCCTGAAGTACAACCTGCCGCTGATGAACTCCCCCAAATCGCCTGTAGGCACGGGGGAACCAACCGGGGCTGCATCCAGCACACAGTGCCTGCTTTTGCTACCGATGCAAATTTCCCCAATCAAGCCCTCTTCCTGATTGCGCAGCTCTACAAAGGTCTCGTCCAAACAGGCGCCCAATGGGACCTCCTGGGTGGAGTCATCAGTCGATAGATTGGCAATAGTCGCCCAGCAGGAGAGCTCAGTAATTCCATACAAATTGTACATCTTCAACTGGGGGTGGCGTTTAAAGGCCAACAATTGCGCTGGAAACGGCTCGCCCCCCAAGGCCAGTGTTTTCAGGGGGCTGTTAAGGAAAATTTCCCCTATTTGCTCTGGGGTGAATCTGCAACCGAACCCTGCAGTTAGTAGGTGCGTAGTTAGGGCCGGGCCCAGACAACCTGAGGAAGACTGAAGGAACCATTTGCAGGAAACTGATGCCAACCACTTTGAACAGCGCGCGATGCAAGAGGGGAGGATTGAGCTGCACTCGCTTTGGGGCAATCACTAATGGGGCCCCGAAAGTCAGGGCTAGGAGAAGCTCGATTAGTGTGGGGTCGAACGTCAAGGGAGTCCCCCAATAGATCACATCCTCTGCAGTTACTTGGAAGTGTTGGCTAGATTTCAGTTGGTGCTAGTTCAGAAGTTGAACTCAGTTCTTCCTGCTACCTACTTTAAGCCAGTCACGTTCTTTTGAATGCACTCAAACGGGATGCGGACCGCTTTGCTCTCTCCAGTTGAGCCAGATGTTTGCATGGTACACAGGACGTTTTCATAGCATTTGGTTTGTTCTGGAACGCCCTCAAGCTCCCACAGTTGCAGCTCATCTCCAATGGAAAGTCGCAGCTTTTGTGTGAAGGTGAAGACGTTGCTAGAGGGTTTCGGGTCAAGGACCAGCAGCCACTTAATGCCCAATCGATTGCAGCTTTCAGCCAAGGTTTGGGGTGTGAGGAAAGTAAAACTTTGACTCAAATCCTGCAAACTGCAGGAGTTTACACTCAGATTATTTAGTTTGTGGGTGAGTTTGCTTGAGGAAATATTAATCAAACAGTTCAGCTTTTAACATTCGGGAACGGATTTGATTTGGTTAAAAGCGACTCCTTATTAGCTGGAAAATTACCAAATAATAATTGATGGCAGCAAGATGTTCTTGTCCATTAACAGGCCAATGCAGTTATTGCTGCTGGTGATATTCTCGGAAATAAACGGCAGGATTTCATCGGCAACATTGAGAACAGTCTGGAAAGAGACTTGCTGGATGATGCCCTGATCTGAGGCCACAATTAGGGCAGGTTTTTCGGGGTTGTGTTTCTCCACCAGTTTCCTGATTTGCAGACCTTCCATGATCAATTTGTACGCGTTTTTTCTCACAAAATCACCATATTTGCATTAGAATTTAATAAATCACAACACAGCAGGCTACTGGTTTTTAACGCTCGAAAACTATGGTTAGCGCACTTTCTACATCTTTCACCGTCAATCTTCAATCAATTATTAGAGGTTATATTGGTGTCGATACCAAATATTTACCTAACACAGCGATGAGTGTATTTTTTCCTAAACGCTGTTACGTATAGTAGGTAGAGGGGTAGAGGTCACGTCCTGCACTGAAAAACACGGAACATCCCCCCTGAAAGCTCCTGACAATGCTGAAGCCTCGACTTTTCGCACATGTTAAGCCCCAGTAAGTAGTCGACCTCTAAGTGCCCCCCAACTGTTCTAAATCTTCATTTGCCAGATTGAGATGCAAGTCCCACTTGGAAGCCCTACGCGAAAAAATCGCCAATGGGCCCAACTTGCAGGATTTCATCAACGACCCCCTGCCAGCAGAAGAGACCAACTCTTGGCAGGAGTACGAGGGCAAGTTGAAGAGGGAAAAGGGCGAGGAGCAACGCTTAAGGTACGCAGCTCTAATGCTCGCCATTGGGGCCCTAATGTGTAGAATCGCCACAGGCTGCCCCCATGGCTGAAACGAACCATCCCCATGGGGAAGAACTACATGAAAATCAAAGAGCAACTGCGAGGCCTCAATCTGCACACTGTGTGCGAAGAGGCCAGATGCCCGAATATTGGGGAATGTTGGGGCGGAGGTGAGCATGGGACTCAAACCGCCACTATCATGGTAAGCCATTGCCAGTGCAATTAAACGCATTAATATTTAAAAACCTGCAGCTGCTGGGCGACACTTGCACGAGAGGCTGCAGATTCTGTTCAGTTAAAACAGCCAGGGCTCCGCCCCCACCGGACCCCAATGAGCCAATCAACACGGCCAAAGCCATCGCGTCGTGGGGCCTGGACTACATCGTCCTCACGTCTGTTGACCGAGATGGTAAGAAAAAGCGCTCATCCTGGATTCCGTCTATTGGTTTGAAATTCTAGACTTGCCTGATGGGGGCTCCGCCCACTTTGCTGAAACGGTTAGGGAGATTAAAAATAGGTTAGTTGCGAGCGGATACCCGGAAAACCTCACCTAAGAAGATTTTCAGGAATTCGAATATCCTAGTGGAGTGCTTGGTGCCGGACTTTCGGGGCGATTTGAAGCAAGTTAAGAACATTGTGGACAGCGGTCTGGATGTGTACGCGCACAACATAGAAACAGTGGAAAAACTCACTCCTTTCGTCCGGGACCGAAGGGCCAAATACAGGTAATAAATGTGGCTTGTCTGATGGAAAATAGAGATTTTATTCACTTTCAGACAGTCCCTTTACACCCTGAAAAACGTGAAGCAAATGAATCCAGAGCTGATCACCAAGTCGTCGATCATGCTGGGACTGGGGGAAACTGATGAAGAAGTGGAGGCCACCTTGAGAGACCTGCGGCAGGCTGGAGTGGACTGCGTCACTCTCGGCCAGTACATGCAGCCAACCAAACGGCATTTGAAGGTGGTTGAATATGTGACGCCCGCCAAGTATAAGCACTGGGAAATTAAGGGCCAGGAAATGGGTTTTCTTTATGTAGCAAGCGGCCCATTGGTCCGCAGTTCGTATAAGGCTGGCGAGTTCTTCATCACAAGCATTTTGAAGCACAGAAAATCCGAGAAGCTGTAGATGAGGATTGATTAAAAAGTTCACGCTCATTTTTACAGTTTTATTAATGAAATAAGACAAAAACTAGCCTACTGATATCAATTTTAACGACTAAATCTTACGTTTAAAAGGGTAGCAAAACAATGCTGAAAATTAGCTTGCTTATATTAGTACATGTACTAAATTGAATACTTGTGTAGTCTACATTGCGCAATTTGGAAAAATGCACATATAAAAAAATAAATCGACATCTTGATTGTTCTGTAACTATTTACACTTTGGTACAGAATTACAAATATTGAGAACGACCCCCGATGGACCTTGGAATTTCTCGGGGGCGGTGTAAGCAAAGTGCTTATTTTGTTTCCCATTCGCTTAAGCCTAATCGACTAATTTAAACTAAATTGCAACGCTTTATCAAATATTACTAAGAATAATCAGAATTTACAGTCCCTAAGATTAACTTACGGTGTAGCTGAGTGACGCCAATCACTCAGTAGAGAAAATTAGCTAGGAAAACCGCCTGTGCGCGGAGTACTGATGAAACCTTTCGAAACTATGGAATCATTTTGTCGCATGGCCGGCCACCACTTTGCCGCCATTCTTCAAGCATTCCTTTTTACTGGGACTGGGCGAAAGACAGATCACGTCGTCGTTATCTTCCGCGGCATCCTCGGGCGAATGACCGTTTGATCTAAACAATTAAACCTTTCAATTTAAACCCAAACAATCTTCCCTATGCAAGAGCCCTTACCGTTCCCAATCCTTAATCAGCTGGTCCAGGTTGTATTTTTTGCGGTAATTGGCAAAAAAGGTTCGAACGTACTGTTCAGTTTTGTTGCCCATCATTTCGGCGATCGCTTTGTAATCTTTGCCGTACTTACGGAACCCCTTCAAATACCATAAGCACTAAGTTTTAAGCAAGGCTTCGCTCAGTATGCATAGCCATTTGCCAGTGACTTGCCGGAGATAAGTAAGCAGTGAGAAAAATGACCAGTTCAGACTGGAAAAAGAACCACTTTTCGTGGCAAAATTGAAGAGAAACACCAAAACATCGGCATTGCATGCAGTGGCGTAGCAAGCTTAACTCGCGCCCGGGGCAGAATACCTTTTTATCCCCAGAATGAATTCGAGTCAGCAATTATTTGTTTTGTTGACCATTTGGCGCCCCTTTGTGAGTAGCGCCCGGGGCACGATGCCCCCCTTGCCACGCCACTCATCACATGTTGTCCACACGGTAAATTGCTTAAAAACAGCAACAAATGTGTGAAATAAGACGCAGTTTTTTGTATGGGAGCACTCGCAGGACAGGTTTCGGACCTATTAGTTATCACCATTCGATAGGGTTGCATTATGTCGCCTCTCCCTTCAATATACACAGGGAAGCAATCTTTCAGAAAGAGGCGAAGAGATAAAGGTGGTATCTAGAATTGAAGTGGCTACTTTGTGTGCTTTGTGTGAACACTCATGAGGCTCAAAACATTATTGATGTATTTCGGTGAAACTGGCTGTGAATTTGTTCTTATGTAAGACTTATATTTTGATGAAACAATCGAGTTCAGCGGTTTTCGACAAGTGGTGAATTCTTGAGTGTCATGGTACAAAAACTACCAGAACTTTTTATTTCGTGGATGGAATCAACTCATTTTTTTTGGTTGATGCACTAATCATTTGCTCACGATATCGAGCTATTTGTAAAACTTTGTAGCATTCATAGTTTTTGCGAAAAAAAATACATATTTCTGTTTTCTTGCCACTTAACAATGTTGGACATTAACTACAAATATCGTGATACGAGGCATAAATAATTTTTTTTACAAACGTCTTGTTAGGTATTTCGCCTCAAAAATTTTTGAGGCGAAATTTTTATTTTTTT